TTATCGTAGCACGCTTTTGTAATACACTGAGAGACTGATGACGTTATTAATGTTGTCGTCATTTTCTGCTGCGGCTGAAAAGGTGAGGCAACCACAGCACAATACTGACATACCGTTCCAATTTGAAATCGGTACTTACATTAATAGCATGCTTATTAAAATTGGAACGCTGTTGATAGCATGCTTTCATGACGACACACCTAGCGCTGACAATAAATTTTGGAATACAGCCTAGGTATACCTTAAAGTGTTCACGGGATTTAAAAGCTGCTCGATTTCTGAAGTATTCCACGTTGAAGTCACGGGATAAAATTTTGACGGACGACCTGAGAAAAATTAAACACACAATAAACAGATGTTAAGTGAGTAAAATTTTTATTCGATACCGCCCATTTAGCTTTTAATCTTTTCGGAAGTTTGCTCTTTAGATTTATTTCGACAAAGCGTCACAGACATACAGCTCGGGGTTCTCGACATTCTGCCGGAAAATCTGAGGAGACAAGTGCAAAAGACATGGCATCAGAAGTAATCTCTTCCACTTTATATTACCTTTAATTATTATACGATTTATACTTTGGATAAATTTTAGATATGACACTCTGATATCTCAAAATGAGCAATTGAAAAAAAAAGTTAAATTGCTTTAGACGGCGCGATGAAACAGAAGCAGAAAGAGATATATTTGAGATTTTAAGATCAAGAAACATGATAGCGTGTCTCGTATCAAGTATTCCAATTAGTAATACGATCATGTTTCTTGGCTACGTTCTTTTTAACGCTAATAGCACTCGTAGTACTACTTCATCCTTGTTGTTTATTAAATGTTAAACAAAAACAAATAATACTCACAATAAACGCTGTAAGCGCCAAACTAAACGTAATCTTTCTTTATCGAGAATTCACGCGGTTATCGCCATTTCATCTAATGATGAATCAGTTATCGATATACGCATGATTACATTTGTTATGGATGAAGTCTCAAAAACGATCATATTGTGGCGCCCGTCTCCGGCGCGACTTGCTCTCGCTATGTTGAGACTCTAGCCACGCCGATCATTACTTATAAGATCATCTTGAGGAGCGACATCGGAAGAACGATCAACCTTTCAGGCCACGAGTTGTTTGGCGGCCTGTCAGATTTAAACATGAGCTTGGGTGCATGAATGGTTTATCTTGTACAAGTTAATAATAAACGGTTCTTTCGTTCTCAAAGGATCGAGAGAGTGTTTCTTTGTTTCCTGCGAGCACGTTACGCGAGTATACGGTTTCTCTACCGCAAAAGTGTGAAGCCCCATCTACATAAGTTGCAAATGCAAAACGCAAACGCAAACGCAGACGTTTCTCTCTTTCTTTTCTTTTATTTTTTGACGTTTTGTTCTTTTTTTTCTCCGCATTTGCGTTTGCGTTGTGCGTTTGCGACTTATGTAGATGGGGCTTGAATGCTAGTTCGCGAATGCGGAAATTCGAATGCGAGTTCGCGACCTCTTGACGCAACAATATTATGATTTGGCTTGAATTATGGATGATTCTTTATTTTTCCTTTCCGTGACTTGCGAGATACTGCGACGAAAAGTTGCGACAATTCTGAATATTCATAGTTTCAATTCTCCACCCCACGGCACCTCTATTCTGAATATTCACATTTAAGAAATGTCATTGTTACTGTCTAAGCGATAAATTGGTTACAACGCCAACTTCCGCTACGCGGCAAGTGTTATATCATCCAGCAATATGATACGCTAAATCGCTACACTGGGTTGAAGTGGGGAAAACAAACGACCTCAAAATCCGGAGGCTTGTCATTACGTCAGTACAATTAATACTGTGAAAGCGAAATATTTGTAAAAATCATTATTCGTTTTTCGTGATACGCGCGTGTTAAATAGTTTTAATATTATACCGAATATTAATTCATGTGTCAAAGAAATATAGTAATACTTGGCAGAAGCAAATATTGCGTCGGTAAAAAATAAAACAATTAAGAGGTTTAATTACAATCTGGTTACGCGCGAAAATAGACAAAGGATCTGTGGCTTTTCTATATGAATAACGTATTCGCTGGTCTCAGTAGTACAATGTGTCCCGGATCCTTCAAAAAAGGAATAAAGTAAGTTTGTAATCTAAAATCAATTTTATCAAATTATCAATGAATATCCTTATTGCTTAAAAATTTAAATTATGCAGCAAATGATATTTTTCAAAAAATATTTTCTCGGATACGTATATGTATATATAGCAATTAATAAATAACTTACAATGAGAAAAAAATTATTTTCTATTTGAGACTATAATTGCATAGTAAAAAATTATGGTTAGGAGCACCATTTTTTATAGTTATTATTATTATCATGTTAATAATAATAACCTTATATGTGTAGTTCTACCAAATATAAAAAAATTTTATTATAAATTATAATAATTTCAAATATTAATATAGTTAAATGTCAAGATATGACAAATAAAATAAATATTTTTATGCAGTAAATGCAACTGCAATTATAGTAAGTTTATAACTATTTTAAATATTATAACTGTTTTTTTAACATTTGCTTACTATTTGTATCGTAATAATAACTAAAGAATAAATAAACAAAAAATAATAACATCAATCATAATGTATAATCAGAATGCATTGTTAAAACAGCTATAATTTGCATGATTAAATTAATTATAATTTTATAGTTGTCCTCGAAATTCACTATAAATTTTAATTAAATTATGGTTATTTCAATTATATTTTTCTTTTGATGTACCGACATTTGATGTCTAATTGACGATCATTTCAATTACTAGATGAAATTTTATTAAATTCAGCTTAAGAAA